CCCTCCCAGTTATGTGCTGCACCATCTATTGATCCTCATTTCTTATCCTTCAGGTCTAAATCTGAATCTTGTCACAGCATAGTCCTGTTGAGCTCAGTGGCAATAATCCTTATGGAGAGCACAGCCAAGACTGAGCTTCACCAGAACTGTTTCTGCTAGTCACTTTGTGGTTGTTGCCTGCTTTGCTTTTCTTTTTGTTTCCTGGCTTGTTTGATTTTTCTCTGTTCACCCTCACTGTGTGCTGGCAGCTGAGTTCCAAACACATTAAATATTGAGAAAAAGCTTTCAAACCTTTTGTCCTAGAACAAGTAAATACATATGCACACTTCAGCTGTCTCCCTTCATCTCTTTAATGCTAGCAGACCTGAGCCTTCTGGCCTTGAGGGCTCAGCACTGAGTCTACCTGGAGGTGATGCAGCAGTCCACCCCTTCCAGTTCTTATGAACATTTGTTGTTCTCCTTCTGGTTGTTTCCCTTGCCAGTATTAGGACCAGAGCTGGGACTTCCTTGGAAATCTGATGCTACTAGCCATTTCTTCATCTTCTGATCGTAGTTTTGGTCTATTGCTATATTCTCCTTTTCATAATTTCCTGGCTCCCTTTGGTTTTTCTCCCTTCATTTCAAAAACTGCCAGTGCTGCTTGTATTCCAGTGAATCCCAGTTTGCTTCCCAGATCTTACCCATACATGCAGCAATGACTCAAGCTATGACTGGCATGCAGCCCTTTTGGGAATTAAAGTCAGGTTTGTCTTCAGGACACTGGTTAGAAATCATGCACTTTACAGGTACAGTAATGGTTGTGGGGGGGTTGTGGTTTTCTTTCATCTCCCATCCTCTGTGTCTATAGTTGGGTTTCTGCCACTACATGTAGATTAACAATTTATGTTTTGTTTTACTCTTCCAAAAGGCATTGATAATCAATCATGTTAAATGTTAAATTGGGTTCTGGCACATATGATGCAAATGGTCTAGAGAGGAAAACCAGAGACCCCTACAGCCTGCATTTCAAAGGTGTTGATGGGGAATACCCATGTAAAGTGAGGACAGGGAAACTTGTCATACCACTAAGGTCATGCAGTCTACTGGAGACTGTAATCCTTGCTTTCCCTCTTTAACATTTCCACTTTTCAGCGATTGCCAGTCAGGGAATTATTTTTACATGCAGTGCTTTGCTGTGGCAGCTCTGATAACAAGGGACTTGTTCAGCTGTGTAGATGTGGGTATAAATGGGAAAGAGCTTCTGGACCGTTGCATTGAGTGGCTATTATCCACAGAACACCTGCTAGTATAGGGTTTGTCTGTGGGATTTGGGTCATACCATATACCTTTATGTGAAACTTTGTGCTTTCCTTGTCCCTTAAGGAAAGAAATTCAGCATCGTGACTTAAGTGCGAACCCCTGCAGAAAGCTTGTCACTGTGATCTGACGTGCAGCGTAGCTTTGGTCTCTGACACAGCAGTTCCTTGGTGTGCTAGCAGTGCAAGTCATTGGGCATGCAAGTGCATTCATTTCATTCTATTGAATTATGAATGAAAAGATGTATCTTCTAAATCATAAATCACATTGTAGACAGTTTTCAAAAGAAAGACTGTATCCTTGGTGAAGTTGCAGATTAGCAGCTAATGGATCATGTCTTATCCCATGTAATGGGTTAAATTTTCATCAATGAAACAAGCATTGCCCTAGGGAAATGCAGTTCTGGGGATCATCATTTATGTGTGAAAGAGGGAAATTGGCTTTAGAAAAGTCTTCTGTAGGAGGTGGCCTTGGTCCAGTTCAGATTGGAAGTAAGGCTGATTCTGTTTCAACTGGCATTGGGCACAACCAGTCCTTCTCCATACAGCAGAGCCAAAACATAAGTGTAACTTAAAAGATATGCATACCAGTTCAATAAATATATGTGCCTGTGTTTAATTGTTTTTTTTAATGAACCAGGGTCTTAATTCTGCTGGGATTTGCTGCCAGGCAGTAAAAGATAGTACATCAAATACTGATTATACTTAAGCTTGTAAGTTACTCTGTTAATAAGCTGATTTCATTGTCATCTTTTGCCTGCTAATAAATCTGGCTTTTGTAAGTTAATTTTCTTGTAATTGGGATTGATGTTATTGAAGCTGTGGTGCTTTTTCATAGCACATTGAATCAAGAACAGGAGATCAGCAGCGCTTTTGTGGTACCCTGACAGCAGTATCAGTAAATGGGCCATTTGGTCTTCCAGTCTTTTTTGATGCTACTATCAAGTGGTGGGGAATACAAACAGCAGGTTGTTATCATGGCATCATCCTTGATTCCAGGCTCCTACATATGGGTACATGTGTCAATACTCACAGGCACACAAAATACAGTGCCTACGTGGGCGCTGGGTAAAAGTGAATAGGTAACTCAAAGGGATTTCCCTCTGAGTCGTGATACTGGCTTAGCTTCACAGATCCACCCAGCAAATGCAGTGCTTAGCCTTGGATAAGTTGCCTCAGAAAGCTTACTGGCTATTAGAAAATGGAGCTTCTCTAAGCACAGCCTTAATGAGAGACTTCTTCATCCTTCGCATCATAGTTTTCATCCATTTGTAAGTGTGATCATCTGTGTAGGAGATGAAACTTCTCTTTGATGGCCTGCTTGTTTGGCATTCAGTGGTCTCAGGAGCTTCATAAACATTCAGCAGTTGAGCCTTTCTGTCTTCCAGCTGGTACTTTAGTCCTCTCTTGCTGGAAGAAAAGCTAAGCCACTGAGACTTTAAAAACGATGCTGACTTGTAGCAGGGACAATTTAGAGATTAAAAATTAAAAGTAAATTCAGGTATTATACTACTCATACAGACGCTGTGTTAATTTTGGTGGCTTAATGACCATAATTATGTATTTTAAAAGAGCCTTTTTCCATCTCTTCTGGCTCTGGAGGAAACATGCAAAGTAAGCGGGGCAAGGGTGGGCAGGGGAGAAGTATATGTTTTAGTTCAACTTTTAGTACAAGTTAAGCTCTTAGAGCTTTATCTGGGAAATGGCTCTGGGGCCAGGCATTGCTTGTGGTCAGGTGTATGTATCTGTGCTGACAGAGCCAGGGTGTGGAGGCAGAGGCAAAGACTGCTCACATCCCTAAAATCCTACTCTCTTTTTGGCTGGAATTGCCTCAAGAAGGGCTGCTAGGTTTATGGGCTGTTTCCTCTCTGCTTTTCTGGCCCAACAAAGTCCTTGCTGTGCAGCCCATTGACATGGATGAGGTGCTCCAACCAAAAGGATGTTGAAGAACAAAAGGGGTACCATGACCACTGGTTTAACAGAAGACAGCTGCTGCCACCCCTTTTGTAAGGGGCCATAACCTAGCCATGCATTTAATATATGTCTTGAAAGCTCCTGTTGGGGGTGGGGTTAATCCATTTGAGGAGCATGGAGGAAGTCTTAATTTCTTGGTCCCAATGGGACTGAAGTTAATGCTGACTTACTAAATCTTGTCAGTAGTTTTGTGAGCTTTGAGTATGAGCAGTTGTTAGCGTCCTGGCAAGCTTTAAAGGAGAAAGGTTGAATATGGGTTGCTTTTAGTTCCAGGGGCAGCAAAGTGCGTGTTTTCTGTTTGGGCACAAGCATCTTACTGTTCTTGTGTCTCAGACTGAGTGCCTGAGTATCTTAATGGGCTGACCATGTCAGATCCTCTGGCTTGCTTAAATAAATCTTGCCTACTTGTCATCAGAAGAGTGGGTAACTCTTTTCACTTGCAAAACAACTGATTATGTATCTATAGAACATCCTTCTCTGGCCCCAATTAGAAGCTGAAGCCGATGTGACTTGACATATTTTGTGAGCAAAGGATTGGTAATTGAGCGTGTAAATGTGTAATTGTCTGTACAATTATCCAATTGAGTCTTTTTTCTTCTTAGTTAGCATACAAAAACGGCAGCACAGTCATGCAGGTGGGCAGATTTTCCAAACCCAAATGCTTAAACGTGTACTTTGAGCATACAGATGTGAACACCGTTAAAAAGATTGATCCAGTTGTGTAACCTCCTCTTTTTCTTTTGATAATCTGCATATTTTCATCAAAGTCTGTCACATAACATAGTTTTGGTGTTACCTCTGTCCTTTTTCCTAGTAAATGTTTCATTGGGCAGTTACCATAGAAATTGTTCTGAGGTTGCTGTTAATGTGCTGGCTTTTAGTGAAGTGCTATCTTGTGCTTACAGTAGTTGGTTCTGTAATACCTTTTAAATACCTTCTATTCCATTTATGAAATATTCATTTTAAATGTGTTGGGGTTTTATTTTTTTGGACGAAAGTCTATTTAAATAATGGGACTTGTTGGCAGTTGCAGTCCAGTGGAACTTCTGAGAAGCAAGAGATGCCATTAAATTTGCAAATAACAGAAGTCTTGAAGTTTTCTCTGCACTCCGTGATTTCTCTGTTTGGAAGCTGCTGATTTGCAAAGAATGAGAGATCTGGCAGCTTCGACCTTGCAACTCTTGTCTGTTGCAGTGACTAAAATCCCAAATGGCTCATGTTTGAGATCTGCAGTGTTCATTTACTGTGAAAGAAAACACAGTAATGCTGATTATAACATGTCCTTTCATATAGAATTAAACATTACATTCAGTCTTTTTGAGATGGCTTTAAAAGAAGTATACAAGAAGGTAGTTTCAGTAACATGCAAAAAGTTCCTGAATAGTGATACAACTGTGCCATGGATGTGTACATATGATTGACAACTTTATCTGGCCAAGGGTAGTCTGTTCATATCAGTAGTCTGTTCGTAACAGTAGACCCACAGAATGGTTCGGGTTAGAAAGTCCAACTCCCCTGTCATGGGCAAGGACATCTTTCAGTAGATCAGGTTGTTCAAAGCTGCATTGCAGCTGGTCTTGACACCTGTGGGAGGCTTTGCCTCCCAAGCTCATGGCAATGTTGTAAGTAATGCCTCGGACAGGGGTGCAGATGGCATCAGAGTCGGGGATGCTGTTTTAATGTGAGTGACAACCACTCCCCTAACACCCTTTTCTCTCTGTTTCTCTGCAGATGTCGCTCCTATGAGGATTGCTGTGGCTCAAGATGCTGTGTGAGAGCTCTCTCTATCCAGAGACTATGGTATTTTTGGTAGGTCAGGGTGTTTGGGAATTTTATGTCTGTCCTGTTCTCGTTTTGTTTGCAGGACTTAAATCAGAGTGTTGCCAGCCTTAGTATTTTAAAGTAGGGTACAAATATGCACTGTCTGTACATATGAATGTAAGGAGTGTAGGTTTTTGCTTAAAAATTCTCCTGATGTAGTGAGAAAACATTTAAAAATAGAAGTTCCTTGTTTCAGGTTGACCTTTCCTGCTTCTGCTTTCCACTAGGCTGTGCAGGCAGCAGTCCCATTATCCAGAATAGCTGAATTCCTTATGCCTGTCCCAGCTACTACCAAGCAGCAGCGTTTGTCTGCTTTTTTTGAGCACTCAGTTTTAAAAGAGGATTGTATAAGGAGGATTGTGCATTTAGGCAGGGCTTAAGATATTCCTGCCAGCTGAATTGAGGCTTCAATTAAAAAGGAAGAGAAGTACATTTATGACTATGAGGATTTTACTGGAGATGACAGCAAGGCGAAAGAAGGCAGGAAGATTGAGCTTGTGAAACCAGCAGCTCAGTAATCTAGATAAAGCTTAAACTAAGCACTGTTATATGCATAATGAAAAAATAAGGTAAATTCGTTTTGGAGAGGAATTTAGGAAAGCACCTGAATAAAAGCTTCTTATTGCAGGAGAGAGAAAGCAAAAGCTCTCCTAGGAAACATGAGTTTCAAGCATTTTTATGTAGAATTTGATTTGAAGACTGCTTAAAAGAAAAAAAATTCCTTCAAAATGGAAACGAATAAACACTGAAACCAAGAAGCCTGATCATAATACAGAGATTTCCTGAAGCTGACTGTGGGATTTGGGTGTACAATCCTCACTGATATAACTGAGGAGCTCTACATCTCAATCCCTGGGGTGACGTTGTAAATCTCTGTTTTTCTGTTCAGAACAAATCCTTTGCAGGAATGCTGCCAAAAGGGAATGTATTAATATAGGCTTACGGAAACGGGACCTCCTTCTGCTCTCGTTTCCACTGTAGAAACAAGGAACAGAATCTGACCCCTTGCATGAAATACAACTTGCTGCCATGCAGTGTCACACTCTTCCTCGTGGGCACTTAGGAATGCTCCAGAGGAGATAAGGATGGTGTGTAAGCTTGCTTCTGGCCAACTTCAGTGGCGTCTGGCCGTATTCCATCCTTTCCGAAAGAGCACAGTTGGCACTGCCTTCCAGTAAAAGGCCCTAAAATAAGGTGGCAGTTACAGGCAGAAGAACCATTTGGGTTTATGGGAGCTTGATTCAGTCACTTGCATGTCTGATAATGGATCAATGCAACAGTGAAAGCCACTGTCTGAAGAACAAAATCTTCTGACCTGCCCTTGCTGCATGTGCCCGTTTCCATGGCACCCAGGCAAGGGAATGATGAGGACAGAGTAGTCAGGTTGGAAAAGGACCTGAGAACAGAACTGAAGCAAAATTATGTCCTTTTCGTTGAGAACGTATATCCCATCTAGGAAGCACAAAGGAAAGTTAGTAATCTTCAGTGCCAAGTGCTTCAGTCTTCTGGCTTGACTTTAAGCGACAGCTACCATATTTCCCATGGGAAACAAAATTGCAGTGTTGAGTAATTTAAGAACATCTAAAAATCTTCTTTTAAGGGCAACTACCACAAACCTGGCCAGCCTGAATGCAGTAAGCATGAGGCTTATGTCCAAGATACACAGTTTGAAACTGTACTAACCTGGAATTTCAGTTCAGCATCCCAGTGGCAAAGATCAGGTGTGAACCTTAACTTTCCAAAAGTTCAGGGGCATTGTAGTTTCAGATTTCTATTTTACATAACAGAAAATATTGGACAATAGTACTAATTGCTGAAGAGGTCTATAATATATCCATAAGTGCCTCATGAGTGCTATCTCAAATGACATAGACCTTTTTTCAAGGGTTAAGAAACCCTGATAAAACTTGTAGGCTGATGACTGCTAGATGATACGCTTGTTTCTCTCAGTGAACAGTCTGGGAATGAGAGCTGCCTATATGCAGATGGGTTTTGACTTCCCTTTTCTCTTTGCTTAGGTTCCTTTTGATGATGGGAGTTTTGTTCTGTTGCGGAGCTGGTTTCTTTATCCGAAGGCGGATGTACCCTCCTCCACTAGTAGAAGAACCTACTTTTAACGTGTCTTACACCAGACAACCAGTCAACACTGCGTCAGGTCAGACACAGCTTGTTAAACAAGTTTCACTAATTTCTTATATTTGCCAAAGCATTTAAAAAGGATGGGTTTGGGGGTTTTGCTTGTCTAGGTTTCAGAAACTGTGGGATTTGGACAAGGGATTGCACTGCATGAAGCCATGCAGCTACCTCCTGTGATGAGTGAAGTCTTCTGCCTTTCAAACAGCATAATTCAGCTGCAGTGTACTGAGTGGTTTTGAAACTCAGAATGATAGGACTTTCAGTTCCCTTCTGTTTTGGTTCCTAATACCTCTACAGCTGTCTGTACATGTATGGAAGGAGTGTAGCAAGTTCACACTTTGCAGCATAGACAAAACAATAGTGAGATGATATCCAAAATGTGACATGAAGAAAGTTCACAATCTGGCTATCAAGTATTCTCTTTTTGATTTGCCTTCCATTCTCTGTGATACAAATTTTCTGCAGCAGACTGGTCCTTCTCCCCTTGTTAGTCTGGTTGCTGTCTCTCTGGCCAGTGATGGCTGTGAGCAGCAGGAGGATCTACCTAGAGATAGCTCCTCTGGCAGTACTGCTTCCTAAATTTCTTATTTCTTCCCGTCTAGCTGTTAGATAGTCGCAGTTGGGAGAATCCTGAGAAGTAAGACTCACCTGTAAGCAGATGTTTGCGCCTTATGGGAGCATTTTAAATCCAGTTCTCTCTAGTTGGGAGATCTTTTATAGTGCTGAGACTTTGAGTGCACACTCTGGTGCTTGCTTTCTTCCTGCCTCATCAAGGCCAAAGCGAGACATTTTTAACCACTCTCCAGATTGCATAAGCCAGTGCTAATTTGTGCCAGCAGAAGTACACATGCAGGCATACTTCTACACTGATGCTTCTGCTCCCAGGCTGTCATTTTACTGCACATTGTATTAGAGGGAGCTGAAGCCAGAGGATAATGAAACCTTTTCTGACAATTGTTTGTTTTAACTGGCAGTTGGGTTTTGTTTCATACTGACTTGAGAGTGGCAATACAACTGGTTTATAATGAGAAGGATGATCTCTGTGAAAATTTGGTGCTTCAAACCTCTCTATCAGAAATCGCCTTCTGAGCCATTACATCTCTGTGCAATACTGTGGCTGCATCAAGACAGCCTCCTTAGAAAAGTGTTCTAAAGCCCTTCTAGATACCTATGACTGTGAGTGTTGTGCAGAGATGCAGCATTTGTGCTGTCCCTGCTGTTGTGCCAGCTATTCACACCCATGTGCCTTGTGCAGGCTGTGGAAACACTCTTTTTTGCATCCTTAAGCATGTACTCATAGACATGCATTTCCTCCCTCTTTCACAGGCCTAAATGGATAGAAAGATGTTACAGACACAAACTGACGCTTTATTCACCCTCTTTGTGTTTAAATCCTAAGAGTTGGGTTTTTTTATAGGGCTTCCATTTAGCATCTGTTTTTCTGCTTGACTGAACAAGCATTTCCACAGAGAGTATTTATTTTTCAACAGTGGAGGGTTGGGGAGGAGCCAAAGTAACTAAAGTCATACTTTGAAGCCTGAAAAATAACCTCAAGATTATGTGAACCGGGACCATTTTTGGCTGGATTGGTGAATACCAGATTTAATTTTAGAGCAGTTTTGTTTTTTTGTGACACTTCATGGAACACAAGTTGTGGGTAAAATATAAAATGAGCACAAGTCCCTTGATGACCTGCTTATGCCACCTGCATCCAGACTGTTATTACTGATACTTAAAAGCTTTGGGCTCTGAGCTAACCCCACCAATTTGGGTTGGTTGTTGGTTGTTGGTTTTTTGGACTTCTATCCTGGGAATATTCAACAGCAAAAGCAATGGGAATGAGTAGTCAAACCAGTTCGCATTTTCTGCTAGCTCCTCTTCCAGGTTTGGGGGCAGTAGCCAATTCACTGTTGCAGTGGAGCACTTGAAATGTGGCTCCTTGCCCATCTCTCTCCTTCCGTGCAGCATCTCCTGCCGTCCCAGCAGCAACCTGGAAGTGGGAGGTGCTTTTTCTGTGGGCCTGAATGGGAAAATGTATTGAACGCCTCAAGCAGCACTTTGCAGACCTGGTGGTATCTTTCACTTCAGTCCTAACCTACACAGCCCCAAACTGGTAGTTCAGGTGTTAGAAAAGGTCAGGTCCCTTTGTAGACACTTAGCAAATACTTACTGAGCTGATCCCATAAGGAAGTTGATACTCAGGTGGTGTTTCCTGCTGGGTTTAATGAACTGAAAATATATCTCAAAAGACTGGTGTCCACACTTGCCCCCCTGCCTCCCCCCCTCCAAGTTTTAATACTACACAGAAGCTTTAATGAAAACAGGTATTTTCCTCATGAGCAAGCTGCAGGGAGCTACCCCAACCTCTCCCATTTCCCCGGTAGAAACGTGGAGCTAGGCAGGATATAACTTAAACCCAAAACTGCTTAAAGAAAAATGCTACAGAAGAGGGTATTAGCTCAAACTGTGGAGAGATAGGGCTCAGCTCCTGTTCCCAGCCTGCTTCTCCTGCAGCCATGTGCTGGTGCTACAGGTGGAAGCAGAACAAGGGCTTCTCATCACTGCAGCAAAGGGAAGGAGGCTGCGGAGAAGCTCTCTGCACTCAGAGAAAAACTGCTGTGTGGTGTGTTAAAGGTTATTGTGTTAAGAAGGAGATAACTGCGTTGCTTATCTGCTTTCCTGCTGAGTGTCCAAACAAAGCTCTCTAGGCAGACACCCCAGGCTCTGGGACACTTTGTACCCCCAAGCCTTATGGCTTGACCCATCTAATTTGATACCAGGACACCTTTTTAGGTTTGGTATGTAGCTCCTGAATGCTTAAAGTACTAAAGGATGGTGAAAGCTTCAATAGGCATTTATTCCTTCTGTAGCAATATTGAGTCCTAGTGTCACTAAGTCACAGAAAGGAATGATTGAGGGGAAAATCCCTTAGAATCTGTGTCATTACAGGAAAACCAGACTAGTTCCAAAAGAAGAAAACCTGTTGCTCAGTCATTTTGTTTGTTGAAGACAAGCTTTGTGTAAACAGGCAGAGAGAAAGGGAAGAAAACTAATTTACATCTTGAGATAGAGACACTCTCTGATTTTAGTTGCTGGAATTAATTGCTTTAAGTCATCTTCCACCAGCCGCTGCAGTAGCTGAGGAGGGTTACACGCCACCTTTGTTATTCCTCGTGGCAGCAGGTCTGTTACCCCTCATGTGTCACAACTAAGGAATTCTGCCTTTGATCCTCCGTTTCCTTTCCTTGTCCCTACAGGCTCCAACATCATTTCCTAAATTTAATCTGTGCAAAGCAATCTTGTCGCACTGTGTTAGCCAGCCGTAATTGGCTTCAACTTGGGGTTTTGCTTCATACATACTTACTCCTTAGCTTTATCATGCCTAGAAGGGAAACTATCTATTTGAGATGCTCTTTGGCTTACAGGCAGATCCAGTACACCACAGAATAATCTGAATCCGTTTTGCAAGGCTTAACTCCTGGGTCAGGGTTGCAGCAGAAACCCCTTTGTCCATCTGGGATCCCACTCTTCTCTCTGCAGGCCTGGCAGCTTTTCTGTCTGGGGAACTGAGCAGAGCTCAGTGTTTTCCCTCTCAATTGGTAGTCACTTGGGGCAGTGGTGCCCTTTGTTGCACTGAATGATTTCTGTTGCATGCAAAATTGAACCTTTTGGGGGAAATCTCAAGAAGTCCTGCAAGCCTGGGTTTTCTTTGGAATAGGAAAGAGGTGGCTCCTTGTCTTTGCTCTGATGAACACCATGAGAAAACTTGTCCAAGCATGCAGAGCACAGGCCCTGGGAGAGCACAACCTGATGCTGTTGCTGATACCTTTTCTCTTTTTTCCTTTCTTTCAGGGTCACAACAACCTGGAGTGCCGTACTACACGGATCCAGGTGGACCTGTGATGAATCCCATGGCTATGGCTTTCCACGTCCAGCCCAATTCCCCGCAAGGAAACCCGGTTTACCCCCCGCCACCTTCCTACTGCAACACACCACCTCCCCCTTACGAGCAGGTGGTGAAATCCTCCACGTGAGGACTCTCTGGCTCTCTGACCTGACTGTGTGAGAAGAAGGTGCCATTGTAAAATGACCGCAATGGAGGGTATCCACCCTTTTGAACACTTGCTAGTTCTGCAAGTTCTCTCTCCCTCCCTTCCCTGCACCTTCCCCATTCAAAGTTACTTGCAAAGGGGTGATCTTAAAGGGTTTTTTTCATTTTTTTTCTTTTTTCTTTTTTTTTTTTTTTAGTAGAAGTGTATTTTTTCTTTGTCTTCAAAATGAGAGAAGTTGTCTTTGTAATGCTTTTAATGGAAACCTATATTTAAAACCTGTATGTCTTTCTCTTTATTTATTGTTCGTTTCAATCATGGGTTAAATTGCATTGTGGTAGGCTATTGATAGCAGTTCCTTATGCAGTCCCAGAGTGATGACCCCATAGCACAAATGCCCTCATCTAAGGGAAATGGCAGAGAGCAGAGGGTAGAAGTAGAAGAGGCAGGGCAATGCTTTTACCACAAATGGTAGCCACCATCTTTTTCTGTTACAATTTTGTTGTACAGCTCGGTTCTGACAAACAGCAGAAAGATGCTGTGATAGAAGTTGCTGTGACTGGAGCATCAGCGTTGGTCAGGTCATAGCAGGGGCTTTGCCAAGTGCCCTAGAAAAGAGGGAGTCATTACTTTAAACCATGCATCTAAAAAGTGGAGGACTGGGACTTGACCAGCACCTGGACTCTGCCTGTGTGACCAGCATCTTGCCTGCGTGGTTTTGACAGCAGTGAGATTGTTTGAAACAGCTGATGACCTAAGTGTCGGTAGTGAGAGGGAGGTGTTATAACCTTGATAATATTTGTGCTTGTGCCTCTCAACGGAACAGTTAGAAACACTGAAATATGTAGCAAAGTTTTCTTCCCTAAATTGGGAAGTAAGAAAGAATGGAAACCTGGAAGTTTGCTCCCTTTGTTAATGGGGAGTTTTATCCCTGAGAAATAGTAGCTTTCATTATGGTCTTACTGCTGCCACAGAGTAGAGCTGTCCTCTCCAGGTGACACATCTGTAAAACTGCTCTCTTCTGTAGGCTAGGTGAATAAATAACTTTTGGGGACTGGTGCTTAAGAGCAGTTCCTTGACCTGAGGCACAGAAGTTTGGCTCTCTGTGACTCCTAGCTCATCATGTGTTTTGTTGTGAGCAGCCCCAGCACTCCCAGTTCACCATCTCATGCTTGTGGCTGGCTGTCTCAGTAGCAAGTCAGTGCCTTCAGATAATCATAAAGCCCCTTTACCTGTGAGGGCTCTCACACCCATCCATGTCTAGCAGCAATGTGAAGCTGCTGAGATATGACTACATACATACTAATGGGACCTTCTCGTGCATATGCAGAACCATGTTACTAATGAATGACAAAAGATGCCATCACCTTCTGCTTCTGAAGGACCTTCACAAGCAGCATAGCTGAGGGTTAAGAGTCTGATACGGTCCTTTGGGTACCAGGTGGATGCTCGCTGACTGCCAATACAGCAGCTGCTCCTGTGTCACTCCAGCCAGGGCACAGAGGTCACCAAGGTGGTTTGGAGTAATCTGAAGATCTGTGTTGCACAGGGAGCCAAAGCTTTATTGTGCTGTTAATGCATGCCAGTGGCTTATGAGAACTCGCTCCTAAGTTGGCTTTTGCAGAACTGGCAGAAAAGAGCATCCCTTTCATTATGAAAAACTACTAAGGGTCACTGTTACTAAAAGCTGCTGGTGGAGTTAGTCATCCAGAGCAGAGCTAGCTTTGGGGTGAAATAAGCTTTCCCTTACTGTGCATCATAAACGAGGACCAAAGCAAAGTACTTCTGTGTGTGCAGTGTAGACCCAGCGGACACTTAAGATGACAAAGAAGTACACTTTATATGTGATGACTGCGTCCATCTGCACACAGCAACTGTATATAGTTTCTAAATTAGTGTGCACTTGAAGTTCAAAGCTGAATGTCACTGAATGTGGTTGTGTATAACACAGTGTTTTTAAAGGAAATCCAGCCTTTCTTTTTCTGTCAAGAGAAATGACCGCAGACCTCCTGTTAGTAGATAGATGTTGTTATGTCCTTTTGTATTTCAAGATGTATCTGTGACAGCAGGCATTTTCCTGGACACATTGAATAGAAGCCTTTTATAGTGAATTCTTATGCTGTACATTGAAATCCAACTTGGTGATTTCAGTGGTGAAGTCTGGCTGGTTTATTTGCTAGTGTTGATGGATGACACTACCTCTTACAACACATGCACTCCTCTGCTAGCAAACTTGCTTGGTCTTCTGAAAACCCAGTACCTATATGGTCAATCCATATGAATTACTTGCAAACTGCTTACATGCCTTTCCTCTCATTGCCTCGCTTTTGGAAGTTTTTAGGTTTTCCTTTATTTTTCCCCCCTCTTAGTTTGAAAAACAAGATGTGGAGAGAAAGAAGGGAGAAACCCTGTAACTTTCAGTAGGGTGATACCAACAATACGAAGCTTATCAGGAGTGTACATTGCACGTTTTGCAAGGTTGGGTTGGTGGGTTGAAGGATGGATGGAGTAGAAATGAAGGTCTTTTCTAGGACAAGAGGAAATGGCCGGTTTAGACTGAGATTAGGAACAATTCCTTTCCCAAAGGGTGCTCAGGCATTGGAACAGGCTGCCCAGGGCAGTGCTGGAGTCACTGTCCCTTGGAAGTGTTCACACACCGTGTAGATGAGGCCCTCAGTGACATGGGTTAGTGGTGGCCTTGGTAGTGCTGGGGAACAGTTGGATTTGATGATCTTAAAGGTCTTTTCCAACGTGGTTGATTCTGGGATTCTGCTGTCTTGGAGGCTTCTGTTGCTCATAAAACTTGTGCAGGCTTTCCCTTGGAATGTGTTTTAGTAAAGTAAGATTGGATGTTGCTGTACCTTTAGCCCTCTTCATTGCTCTTTCCTGAGCCGTATGTTTAAAGTTCTTTATATCACTGAGCTGTGTTCGGAGTGTGACCTCTTGTGTGCAGAGCTGGAGCAAAGGCAGGGCTAACACCACTGAGAGACTGGTACTCAACAGCACTTTGGCAAGGCAGATGTGAAACACAGACTACAGGCACGCCTCTGGAAAGGGCAGGATTCCTCCTCACCAGCAGGCAGTGATGACAGGTCACACAGGTAAAGGAAAGCCTCATCTTGCAACAGGACTTTACTTGGCAGTAGTAATGCCTTAGGAGCTGCCAGCTGCTGCAGCCTCACTGATGTGGACTTTGCGTGGTGTAGTGTATGCTTCATCTGTTGGGATTCCTGTGCTGGATTCTCTGGGTGCTCCTCCTGCATCCTCTCTCTAACATAGCTGATACTTTGGTGCCTCACTGATGAGGCAGGGTGGTGTTTGCCTTTGGGATCCTGCCATCTACATCAGGAAGTTGATTTAATGTGTTGTGGGGATCAGTGACCTGGTTCTTGAAGATTGGGAGTGATGCAGGATGGGATTTAAATGCCTTGAACAGTGCTTGGGTAGAATCCCAGAGCTGAGCCACTGAGCCTTGGAAGGGGGGCAGCCAGGAACATAAATGTTATCCCCTTGAGGTCCTTTCTTCAGTTGTGTGTTCTCAAAACGTGTTTGCTGTACGTGTGAGGAGGCAGTGATTGGGAGGAATGTAATACATGGGTATGGGAACCTTTGAGGTCTCTGCTGCTGTGACCCTGGCAGAAATGGGAAGGAGAGAGGGGTTCAGTCCCTTTCTGCCACAGTGCAATCTCCAAATACACTGCTTTGATGAGAGCAAAGGCACTGCCAGGGGCTCTTGGTACACTTAACCCTTAGCACTGGTGTGGCCTCCTTCATATGTCCAGGGCTTGTGTGACAAGCCCAGGCTTGGGAAGAGGAGGGAACCTGCTCTTGCTGTGTGTGGGCAGTTGGTTTTCAGCTGGAGGCTTCACTGTCCTGGCTCAGTGAGGAAGAGCAAAGGTTATAGAAGACTGGTTGTGCTCTGCTCTCTTTCCTCCTCGGGGATCATGCAGGCAGGGAATGAGCAGAGGCCTTTATAGACTTGTCAGGACCTGACGGTCCTTGTGTGCAGCTTGTGCCTCCAGGTACACTGCAATCAAATTTGGCTCTGAAGGGCAATTGAAGGTGGTATTCTGAGACCCTCTGACCTGCCTGGGGGGTTTGCTCTGGTTTGAGAGGGGAGAAGAGGAGGAATATATTTCTAGCATCACCTTCTAGTTAGCTACTACCAGCAAGCAGGGGTGCAGAGTGACTCTGTGGTCATTGTCTGGCATTTCAGATGCTGCCTATCCCAGGAGACTTTGGGAATTAACTTGCCTTCAGCTTTTGGTTCTTCCTCATCCCTTCTTGTACATTCCACACATCTCCTTTCAGCCCTGCAGTGGGAGAGTGATATCTCACTCAAGATGATCCCTGCTCAGAAGAACAGCAGCAATGAGGCTTGCTTTAATGTCTTACAGCAGGGCTGTAAAGCCTCTTTGAGTAGTCAGGCTAGAGCTCACCCTTCAGCCACTGGTGACATTGGGCTCACATTGAAGGCAAGAGCTGGCTGTAGCCAGAGAACCTCCCAGGATCAGGAGATGCTTTTTTTCCCCAGGAAGGTAAGTTTTCTTCCCATAAAGCATCTTCCCTCCAACCTGCTTTGCTGCCCTGTGTACTGTTGAGGGATGGCTCTGTGTTGGTGGGTGAATTGAGTTTGCTGCAGTCTGAGGGTTCATCAGGTTTTGCTGCTGCTGCTTTTTCAGCCTTCCAGCAAATACACAGCCCCAGCACTTGCTGTGAGGCTCGGAGCAGCTGAAGCACCACTGCCAAGGTGGGTGAGAGCCCGTCAAGCCAGCACTGCTGGGCTGAGGTAGCACAAACTTCATTCACAGATGTTTGTTCTCTGTTCTCCCCTCCCCTTGGGTCTCTCTCCCTGCTCCCTGGTGTGACTGAGTGCCTCATGGCTCTCAGGAGAGGGGCAAGTGTTGCCTGGAGCATCCTGCAGCACCTTCCATGTGCCTCGGTCATCAGTTGTGCTGTCGATAGGCTTGACAAGGGGGGTACCAACCCTCCACTTCTGCTTGGTGCTGCCAGGCAGCTGCACTCGTGTCTCATTACTTTGGGAAAAGCTAATGTAGTGACAAGGTTTTTTTTGCTGTGTGGATGGGTTTTCTTTTCCCTTTTCTTTAGAGCCCTGTGACAGCTTCCAATGCTGGGACTGCCTGTTCCAACAAGCTCTTCAGACTATGTGAGGAAGCAAAGGAGGTACTGCTCTGTCTTCCCTATTTACAGCAAACAAACCCCAGCCCCTCAGATGGGTTAGTTTTATATGCATATACCCAAGATGCTACCTTTTTTGACACATAGGTCAGCCAGGAGGTTACACCACCTTGTCAGATGGTAGAGCCTTACTGGTTTTTGCTTAATTTTCTTTTTCTGATCTATCATCTAATGCATCACTTCTAATTCAGTGGGTGAAATAAATGGGCCAGGAAGTATTTGCAGGTCCCATGTAGGAGTCATTGTCCATCCGCCCCACAATGCCCTGTTGCTGAGGGTTTGAGCTACCTTCTGGGATTTTACAGTACTCTTTGGCCAGGAAACCACTAAAGAAAGCCCAAGCAGGGGAAGATCCAGCATAAGGCAGTTCCTACAGAGCACCTGCTAGGTAATAATGCTGTTAAAGAGGAGACAGACAACTGGCAGGCACTGTCCCAAGCTGCTGTGTGCTGCAGGGTGAAGGGGACAGCAGAGAAAGCAGAGGGAAGTGACAAGTGAAGCTCCCACCCCAGCCCCTGCAGGTGAAGGTAGCTCCTTAGCTGCACATATGTGTTATTTTGGCTTGAGGTATAGAGAGAAGTCACAAGGATAGCTGTGTGTATCTCTGTGTCTTTGTCCTGCTGCTTAACCCCAGCTTATCTCATAGCTGCAGCAGGATTTACAGCAGCCCACTTGCAGATGTCAAGGAGAAGCAGCGGCTGAAGACGGGTCATGAGTGCTCCCTGTGTACAAATCACAGCTGCAGTGCTGGGCGGAGAGGGGCACTTCTGCATCAGCATGAAACCAAATGGGAGGCAAGTGAACAATTTCACCAGGACAAAGCCTGCTGCATCAAAGCACCCTGATGGGACAAGGCTTCAGGTATTACCTGACACACAGCATACGGGCTTCCTCCCGCCTCTATCCTACCCTATTATGATAGGGTTACAAAGAAGTACTGTGTTAGAAAAGCCCCAATGCATTTATCTACCTCACTTTGTACAGATTACCTTACCTACAGAGCAGAAATGCCATTAATTCAAAAAAGCAGCAGTTGCTCTAAGTAGTAAGGAGAGCCCTGAGTGGCTCACGCAGCTTTGTGAAACAGGAACACTGCCCCTTGCTTGCAGCATACTTGAGGTTTCCTTCTGTTAAAGCCTAGCTAGAGAAACCCATCAAGTGTTTCCAGCTTTTATCACAGCTGGAAAACAGGTGTTAGTCAGCTGGGCAGAGAGGCTTCAGACAGAGTTCATCCTGAGGGAGGGTCTGGAGATGCTGTGAGGGCTGGAGCAGCTCTGCTCTGGAGCCAGGCTGAGAGAGCTGGGCTGGTTCAGCCTGGAGAAGAGAAGGCTCCTTAAGGGGAGACCATAGAGCAGCTCCAGTGCCTAAAGGGGATGCAGGAAACCTGGAGAGGGGCTTTGGACAAGGGCCTGTAGGGACAGGACAAGGGGAATGGCTTAAACCTGGCAGAGGGGAGACTGAGATGAGCTCTTAGGCAGAAGTTCTTCCTGTGAGGGTGCTGAGGCACTGGCACAGGGTGCCCAGAGAAGCTGTGGCTGCCCCATCCCTGGCAGTGTTCAAGACCAGGTTGGACAGGGCTTGGAGCAACCTGCTCTAGTGGAAGGTGTCCCTGCCCAGGGCAGGTCAGATCAGTGGGACAGCTCTCGCCCCGGGGCTGGGGGAAGGAAGGAGTATAACAGGAAGACAGAAAAAGGAAAACACCACAAGGAATCACACCAGTTACCACCACACAGCTTGATCTTTACTAATAAAGCCAAAGAACAAAACATCAGCATTTTTTCCTCTTTTTCTGCCCAAAGAGCATCTCCACTATTAACACTACTGCTTTTTGCAACAGATAAGACTTATTACACACGGACAAAGCAAACCAGGGAATATTAAGACATTTTCCACATTTTTAGTTTGAAGTGATTTGTGAAAACAATGCCTTGGTGAAATGCCTCTTTTCACCTTCACGTAATACCCTTTCTTAGCTGGCCACCCAGATCCCGCAGCACTGTGAGGAACAGGAAGGAAGAGCCACAGGGAAAGTCACATCATGAGGCAGGTGCACTGTCAGACACTTCCCAACTCAATACGTTTCCAGTCTTGCTCAATTCCAAGAGGATTCTGTGGAGGAAGTCAGTGTCGTGCCCCAGTGCAGCAGAAGACTGGCTATGGTACACAAAGAGCTGATAGCTGACTGGCTCCTTAGTTTGATGGGTGCACTCAAGCATCTTAGAAGAGTTTAATACCAAGCAGGTCTCCAAGTGTGTGGATGCATATGGATTTTTTAAACCAGCAAGTTTTAATTCCCTTGGGAATTCCTTCAGGTGCCACTCCAAGCTCAGCAGCCAACATATGCGTGTGTGTGTATATATATATATATATATCTCTCTATACCGTCACTGACTGAACACCTGCCTGTTGCCCCCCCATGTGAAGCTGTCAGTACAACACATGCTTGCAATTTGCCCCAAGCCCCTGTTAACCCATCCCAGGTGTGGAGGGGAAAGAAAATAAGGGGTAGGGTGATGTGGAGCAGGATGGGAGCTGTCCCCTGCCTCCTTTCCTAGAATTTGAGAGACTTCACCCTGGGCAAGGTTCCTCCCTGGCTTTACCTATGGGCAGGATCAGTGATGCACAGGCTGAGAGTCAGGCCTGTGCCATGGAGGAACATCTCATTTGAGATGGTCTCTGGTGGTTCACTCTGCGCATTGCTCTCCCTGTCACTCACTGCTTGCTGCAGCTCTGCTCAGGTCTGCCTCACCCCACCTCCCTGCCCTGGAGCATCCCTTGCTCCTGCTGCCTTTTCCCTTGCCCCCAGGCTGTACAGACACAGCTGGGTTTGGTGTCTCACAACTCATTTTCTGCCCTTTGCCCAAGCTGCTCTGCTGTTTTAGTCCTACCCGACAAACCAGGAGGAGTCACACTGTGACATTAAGCTGTCCCTGCACTGGCAGAACGGAATGTGGAGATGATTTAACATCCCAATGGATTTGCGAACAGACTCTCTAAGGTTCAAGGAAGTCACTTAGGCAACACTGCATTTCCAAGCCTGTCTGCAAACACTGGAGCTCAGCAGATGGCCCACAAGTCACACATCCATTAAAATAAGCACCTGGAATGACACAGCACAAGGAGACCTGGGGGAAGGATCACAACAGAGCTTGAGCAGGTGACAGCAGTAAGTATATTTACCATCTATCTATCTGGCACATATAAGCCTGCTATAAGTGTACTCGGAGTGTGTCCCACTACTTCCAAACCAAGAGCCTCAGGAGCAATGGGAGGCAGGTCTAGTATTTCACAACCCCACCACACTACAATGGGAAGCAGAGCACCAGCAGCACAGTTAAAACTAAGGGCAAAGGGCTCTTTCTGTTTGGATTTTAAGATGAAATAAACATCAATTACACCCTCTAGCAATGGTTTCATAGCGCTCATTAATCTTCTGTGGCCTCCACAAGCAGCTGGTATTTATCACTCCTGTAATACTACATGGGCTAAACACAGCTGGGCTGGGAGAGGGAGGGAAGGGCCCAGAACAAATCACTGCTTTGGTTCTGGAAGCCACAGCCATCCTGAGTTACCAGGGTGAGAAACTTGCACTGACACCCTCCCTTACTCATTCAATACTAGATGCTGCAGGACAGGCCTATTAGAAAGCCATGTACAGGAGAGGAGAAGCACAGTTAATGCCATCCCTGCTCTGCTGCTGGTGGCAGTGGGAGGTTCCCATGGGTGACTCAACCTCCAGTTTAAGCTCGTGCCATGGGCTGTGGCTTTGCAGAGGTGGGGACAAGCATCCCCATCCTGTTCTAAGTGCCTAACACACTAAACAGGGGCAGGTATCAAAGGAAGCCTCTTTTTCAGGCTTTCAGCAAAACCCTCCCGCAATAGCAGCAAAAGACAATTCATGTCCCTTTAAACTTCTCTGAGAACATACCTCTTCACCAAAAAAGGCTGATCTCCATCACTTTAGCTTCTAGGAACTATGGAGAAAAATGCGGAAAAATATGAACATGAACATGTTTTTCATCTCTTTAGAAGTTGCCAGCTCAGCAGTGAAGCTGGGCACTGTCCTGCAGCAAACTCTGGCATAAGGTGGAGCTCTCTGGATAACCACGCTGCAGAAGGCAACAGTGCTGTCGTGAGTCATGCACAAAGGTACAGGACAGAGATTCACACAGGGACCAGCTTTTTGCTAACAACAAAAGACTCGAGTCAACACACAACACCTATAAACATGCAGAGCATGTCAGAGACCTGAAGAAGACAAATACAACAGGAGAGAGAGAGTTCAAAACTTGACTTCTCTTGTCCTACTTCTGAGGCTGTCACTTTAACAGAACTGAAATGTGGCTTCTCCCATTCATGCTCCAATGACTTCATGGTCCTCTGGGGCAGGGGTGGGGTGAGACAAGGGGTTTATCCATCTGTCAGCTCAGGGTCGAGTTGGTTCGGTATCAGAGGCACTGAACAGTCTCATCTCTTTTGGCATCAGTTTCCTTTCAAAACGATGTTTTAGCTGTCCTGTTCCACTTTGTTTTCCCTCCTTTGAGGTCCAAGTTCAAATGCTGGAAACCGGGAAGTCTCCGGTACTGAAATATCTGAGAGGAAATGAATAGCTCCAGCCATGCCTAAAACATAATGAGAAAGGGATTCTTGTGCATCTTTGACATTAAAATAGCAGAGATGACAGCAAAGGCAACAGCGCATGTTTGAACACCTCCTCACCAGATCAAATAGGGCCTATAGAAAAGCAAGTTCATTTGTACTGTGCTCAGGAAACCAAGTTTCACTTGAAAAGGTGAATGGCAGAACCACGCTCTCCCTGCTGGCATCTTTTCAGCTGCACAACCTCAATGCTACCTCACTTAAGAAAGTAAATCCCAGCTTTGGGCTGTCCCTCAGAATTCGAGCAGCTCTTGCTCATCATTTCAGTGATTAAAAAACAAAGGCAAAACTTCATTATACTTATGATGATAAGTATATACTTATATATATATTTATAACACACATATATATACTTATATATAGTATATCATATACTTATGATATACAGATTCAACTGTTCACTATTCATAAAGAGGTCATGCAGAGCCTGAAGCACTAACAAACACCAGCATAACCTAATAAGAGCCTTCGGGTGACAGAAAACAGAGGCACCTAAAGCAGGGGAGCATAGAAATACACACAGTTTTATAACACTAAAATCCTATTTTATCAACAGCTAAGCACATACAAACAAAGGAACCTTCCTGAAATACAGCACCTGATGCAAATGAAACAAACGTGTGCATACATGCAGACTTGGACAACTTCATGCACAATTCTGGCTCCCCACAAAAGACCCCCAAATCAAGAAACTAAATAAAAAGCAGCATTAAAGCATGAATCGTCCTATTGCTGCACTACTTCACCATCTCAACAGATTTCAAAGCTGTTATACAACAGATTTTATGCCTGCTTTTTTCCCCTTGTGCATGGAAGGGAGCTCTCATGAATGAGAATAGTTCCATTTCTCCCCTTAAATATTTAGACAATAACGCAGCATATAGCAGGAATCAAGCATATAACTACTTGTATTCACATCTTGGATTGGCCTCTTTGTAAAATAATCCTATTTGGTCTGCTGTAATTTCATGTATTTGTGGTAGGTGGCACACTAGGCTCATTGTTCATGAAGCAGCAGCACTGCTTTAAATCCTGATTCCTTATGTTTCTCAAACATATGGATGAGCTAAGGAACAGAATTCCTTTAGATGGAAGTAATAGTAGAGAGCGAGTCTATTTTTAATAGCAGAGGAACCCAAAACTTTGAGGTTGCCCTATTTCCCATATAATGCCATGCCATTTACAACGCCATCCCTTTACCTTCAAAGAGAGAATAAGGTCGGTCAGGAATACGACATCCATGTGCACCATACTCCAAACACCATTCAGCAAACTGCAGGACACAAAAAATAAATACATCAAAAGTGAGTTTGGGATTTTTTTAGTCATTATTTTGATTTAAGACTGTCAAATGAAAGCTTGAGTATCTGCATCTCTTTAATCTCTACACAAAGGTACGTTTCGGTACTAAAACAGTGTAAGCAGAGACAACACAGATATCACTGTCCCAGATCAGTTTGTCCCACTTCAACCATGACAAGGCTGCAATTAGGTTTTAGGAGATGTATTTCCATAGCACAAGTTTCAGTTCCATAACAAAGTCATTAGGTGGGCTGTACTTTACTTCTGCTTCCTATAAATCACCCCTGCTATATGGCAATGAAAAATGCTGCAAGAAGAGATACATTCAGTTTCAAACTGTTCTCACACTATAATAACAGTTTCTTATCTGTCTCGGTGCTTTATTTATCCATGTGCTCAGGACTCAGTGTTGTTAGTTGTATTTTGGTTTTCTTTCACTCTGCACCAATTCAGAGTATTAAATCTCCAGCTGCCATTACTTAGCATTATTTATTTGCTCTCGCCAAGCCTTATGTAAAACCATTCTATATACAGTTAGACAATTATGGTCATCAATATTTTGCTGCAGAAGATGGAATACCATTAAAAAGAGTTCACAGAGTGTCTGATCAACGCTGCTGCAGTAGCTAACATCATATATATGTGACTTATGAATCGCATCTGGATCAACTTAATAGCAGCCATCTATCTATTCCTCCGTTATGGCTCCCCAGAGCATACAGGGGGCTACAAGTTCCCCTGGCATTTCTGTGCTTGGAAGTAAACCACTGCTTATCCAAAATACAGTGTGAAGATTCCTGGAAAGCAAAGCGCAGAGAGGTTTCTCCCAGCTCCCCCTGCAATTTGGGCAAACTGCTAGCAAACGAACCAGAGAGTTAACCTACTAACGTAACATCCTACTAACTACCAGGTGCCAAAGCCATAGAGCTGGAGTACATGGGGTGTAAGGATCACTCCACAGCCATCACTCTGTTTAACAGGAGGATAAAGGGTGGCATCTTCTCCCTTCTTCCCCCCACTTTGTTCTGTTTTACTGGGAAGTGGTTTTTTTCTTCCCTTAGTAAGGGTGTGTGTATGTGTGTGAATGTCTTGAGGAAAACCCAGCAAAACCCCCACAAACACTGTGGTCCACACTGTTATTAAGAACTAATGAAACATTTTTGGACCCCTGACAGGTATAAATCGTCAAACCAAGGTTTAATCCCCCACGTAACCTTATTGTATACGTGAGGACTGAACACATTAATGGCATATTTCTAGACTACAATCAGTTCTTCCAACATGCACATCTTACTGCATATACTGCCAGCCTGGGAACTGCAACAGAGATTTAACAAATGCACCCCAGGCTACTGAAGCACAACCAACATTTACAAGGTTGCAGCTCCAGCACAACTCACAGATCCAGTAAGCCACACTCATCTTGGTTAAACCAAGGGAGAAAAGAAAGAAACCTCTCCTAGCAGGATGACATCTGCCATTCTCTGTCACAGACTGGGCATGCTTGCCATCTGCATGGTTTAATCACAACGCTGAGCAGCACAGAGCTCGGATGCTCCCTGCTGCATGCAGCCAAGGATGCCGCAGCCCCTCTCACCTCTCCCAGGCAGGCTCAGCCTCCTGGGAGCCTTTCTGATAATGCTGGAGAAAAGCTGCAAGGCCAAAAACAAGAAGCACAGCGGTCTCTGCGATTCACAGGGCTCTTCTGGTTCACTTGTGAGTGTTCCATGGCTCTTGAGAAGCAACCAGGGATTGCTGGACGGACTCCTTCCCCTGGGGCCCATGCTTTCAGTGTGAGCAAACACCCCTGGGAGGGGAGCCATCAGGTTCCCCCAGTTACATCCCTTCAGGTACCAACATAACTGCATGCTTGCTTCCCTGCATGTTCTGGCTCAAGAAGAAAAGACTCCAAGAATGCCAGACAAGCAAATTCCTCTCCCTGCTTCTGGATTTCCCCTGCAAGAGCCCAAAGGGCCTGACTGAATGCCAGGGATGCTAAAATGCAGAATGGCTGCAAATATGCTGCCCGACCTGACAGTATTGGGCACCTCCAGCAAACAGCCTCTGGCCACTGTGCCACATCTTCCCTCTCAAAGGCATTTCAGGTATGTAACCGAGTCTCCTCCTTTTTTTGCCTTTAAAACAGATATATGCTTTCTTTTCTCTAGGCTGGTATGGAAGAATGTCAGGGCTCTCTTGAGCCAGAAATGCAGCACCAAGGGGAGTTGCCAGTGCTGGCAAAAGATGACAGGGAGAGCCTGACAGCTATGCCAACAGCAACGCCTGCTTGGGTGCTGTGGCTCACACAACAGCAGTGGGTGAGTCCATGTTTAAGAAAGTCACACATGTGCCATGGGAGTGCTCTAGGAAGCAGGTCTGCCTACAGGTGTCCTCATGGCGTCATGCTTGGGTAAATGTGAAACAAGCAACAACTTTTTAAAGCTCTGCTGACAGAGGACACGCTGACAGCGGAGATGATACTGATGGTAGATGATGGACAGTAGGTAATTTAGAATACCAGACGGGGCTTTGAGCAACCTGCTCTAGTGGAAGGTGTCCCTGCCCATGGCAGGGGGTTGGAACTGGATGAGCTCTAAGGTCCCTTCCAACCCAAACCATTCTATGATTCCATGAATACAGTAGCTTTACACACAGTCAAGCTCATCTAAAAGCACCTAAGAAGCAACTCATAAAATTTCCCATTGCAATACTTTTTAACCTCAGCTAAATAGCTATGTTTGCAATGCAAAACCTAACATCAGTGAACTAAGCTGAAAACAAAACCCCAACAGAACAAACCAAAACCCAACCACAGTCTTATGAGATGAGGAAACAGAAGCAGAGAAGGCGCTCGTATTTGGTAACTGGCAGGGCTGACAGCAGAACATGGACAATTCCATTAGAAAAATTCCGAGTGTCATTCTCTGCCATTTGTACTAATGAAAAAAATCCAAGTGAGCAATTTAATAACTGCAGCTCAGAGCTCTGAAAGCCCCACACAGGCACTAGTCTGAAAACAAATAATTACAAAAGACTACAAACAGTATCGCTTGAGGAGCTGCGGATGACAGTGGATGTCTCAATGGAATAATTAGCGCCACGTAACATCAGTCAGTTATTATGCAGGGAGGCTGATTTCAGACTCAATGTCTGAGTACGTGATTAGCTCTTTCCTCTTTATAGAATATTGGTGTGTTTCACTGGGAGCAAGTGATGGGACCCTGCTGTACCACCAGCAGCACAGCCAGCTCCAGCTCTAGCACACAACAGCCTGCTCCAAGCACAGTTTATTCTTGCACGGGTGTTACGATGTGAAAGGAACAGTGATCGTGCTGGGATGCTGCAGAGCTCACCTTGCAAGCTCGGTAGAGGTACTTTTTGTCCTGAGTTAGGTTATAGAGAGACAAGAAGGAGTAGCCATTGCCAGCTGTACCGTGGCAGATCCCATATCCTTTTCTCAATAAACCTCTCTGCCAGATGACATCGCTACAATCCATAGCATCTTTCAAGTATTTATCTTCTTTAAAAGTCTGGAATAAAAACAGAGAATAAACACACAGAAATTAAAACACTAATGACAACAAAAGAAAGCTGGACCTGAGCACTGTTTTACTGTTGGAGTTTTTCCATATAAAATTTTGTTTAAATTTTAATAATCCATTCATCATAGACTTGCTTTCCTAAGTTGCTTCTCCTTTCTCTGCATAGAAACAGACAGAACTTCTCAGGTTTTTGCTTCTGAAATCAGGACCCTAAAGGAAAAATTCAAGTTCAAGACCCTTGGTTCTACAGCCTATAATCTATGGTCCTTTTTGATCCTTCCCTCCATTCCCAAGCCACAACATCATTTGATTTGAAATACAGAAATGTAATTCTTGCCTCCAAGAAATGTAACACACAATACCGGCCATCAAATATAATCCCAAAGGGCTAGGTCCCAATCTGCCTGAGTAATTCTTCCTGGCTACTCAGACTTGGTTATGTCTGCCTTCAATTCCATGTCAAAAATGCACAAGAATATCTCTTTGCATAGCACAGGGCTCCTTTCTCTGTCACAACTACAAGGAGGAACACCCCAGTACCTTGATTAGTATTTGTATTAGAAATACTCAGAAGCACTAGCCAGTTGGGCAAAGGAGCAGTTTTATAGGGTTTATTGCATCTGAAGTGCACTTTGCACATAGAGAGCCCATAAAGACAGCAGAAAATAAAAGTAATTAAACTGAACATCACCAGATTCCCATCTTCGTAAGGCTACTTTTTTGCTTCCCTTTGCCTAAGCCTCTCTACAGATCAAGAACACACCAAAACCAAGTAACTGATGCACTACTGTAGACTTAGTCCTTTAGAAACAGCTTCCCTGCCAGGTTATTTAAGAAGCAATTAACATGCAAGATTCTTAAATCCATAAGCTTCATAAAGGCCGTCTCTCTGAACAGGGTTTGCCAGCTACTGAGCTGTAGAACATCAAATTAAGGCCTGGCAACAGTGTTTGATTTCCAGGACAAACACTGCTTTATCACAAGTCCGTGTGCTTGGTGTGAAGGAAAGCACAGCCAGCAAAATGTACCCTAATTTTCTTATTGCCTCTTTAAAAAGTGTAACATAAAAACAAAAGCATCATATCCCCATCACCTCAAATGTAAGAAGAGGCCAGGAGACTGTTAAACAGAACTTGGCCCTAACCCTCTTATCTCCCAGAAAGTATTTTGTGCTGGGGTAACCAACACATTTGGCCAACATGGTCTAGGGTGATGTGTCCCTACCCATGTCAGGGGGTTGGAACTAGATGATGTCAAGATCCTTTCCAATCCAAACCATTCCATGAGTCTATGACAAAGAAGGGGGAAGAAGAATTAAAAGAGAAAATAAACTTAAGTAGTCTGCAGTGTTAACCTCCTACTACAGCCCAAAGAAAAAGCAACTGTGACTGCTGCTCCATGTGGCAATGCTGTAAGAGATTTACAGCTCACATTGCAGGTAGCAGTAAGAGTAGTTATTCCATAAACCAAGCCTGCTCTTCATCAGCCCACCCGAGCAGGGAATCTGCCAAGGAGGGCTGTCAAAAGCAAGAATCAATTTGCATGAATGTAATTAAATGGCATACTTTCAAATGCCACGCAAATCAGAAGTGCACAACACAAGAGAGACAGCAAACCTAGTTAAGGATGGAGAAGAGCAAACAGTAGGCTTGTGGTAGCTCAGCAGTTATATTTATGCCCTAGAAGGCGCCTGGGACCTTTGCTCTGGTGGTAAGCTCCCAAGAGCTCTATCTCATTAATGGAGTAATTTACGGAAGATGTTCTTTGGCAAGACACATGAACCTACGCTTCCGAAAACCAACATCACTCTTAAAACTCTTGGGATGAAGATTCGAGGAATTTAGGTCAATAGTCTTACCCAGGACCCAAAACTGCTTAAATACATGGCCCTTTTCCAAGAGAGCCTAAAGCCTACTAACCACCAGCACCCTGAGAAGCACTTTTACCCACTTATTTCCTTTACAAACATACCTATGTAAGCATTTTAAGATTTTTGGGTGCCTAGCCTGGGTTCTGTTTGAAAGTAGACCTAGAAAGATGGAAAATGCAAGCCTTACAATCTAACAAGCCTACATACAGGTCTCTGTAAAAACAGAGGTCTATATGAACACACAGCGATTCACCTTGTAAGCTTGCATGAGCATGTGGATGACTCCGGGGGCACCATGGCACCAGTGAACCAGTCTGTCAGTCTCATTGCTCAGTGACGATGGGTAATTCCCAGATCTGAACTTCTTATGGCGCACATAGTCAATGCTTGGCTTCACCAGCTCTGTCAGGGTCTCCTGGCCCACATTTGCAATTGGCTAAAGCATACAAGAAAGCACAAAACCATTAACAGGAGCAGTAACAAACTGTGTATCAACACTTCATGTTAGAATCTACTTTCGAGTATCCTACATATGTGCCCCCGATCCAAATACTCTGAATTGCTTCATACAGATTTAATTAATGTCTGATTACAATACCATTGTGAAGAGCATTTTTACAGCTACTGGAGAGACAAAGAAACTGGGGCACCAAGTTGTCACCTGTCTTACTGGAGGTGACACAGAAAGACTACAGCAGAACTGAGAACAGAATGTGGATTTCAAGACTCCCAGGCCTCTTTTTATAGCTTAGAATAAGAGAACACTTACAGGAGAAAGATGGTTTATAGCTATGTTGCTCATAATACACACTTAAAACACAATGGGTTACACATTTTGTTTTAGCAGGAATTGACACAGACAAACCTGCCCTGTTTCCCAGGAAATGAAGAAGAGTGTAAATAAGTAGTGGCATACCTGGAAAAAGCTTATGAAAGTCAAGTTTTCCAGCATAAACAAAACTCCCTGAAGCTATGGGTTATAAATCTGCATTTCCAAATCTCAGAAGCAACAGCTATTGGTAGCTGAACATCTTTGTACTGCAAACTCATCCTTAGATTGCTATTCTGAATTTTCTTTCTCATTTCCTATATTTAGTTTATAACCTTGCCAGAAAGAAAATATATCCATCAACCTGCATGCTTCTCATAAATAAATGTTTAGAAACCCAGTATGTGTTGGGTCTGCAGCTGTTGGCAGTCTACAGCCAAATGAAGGAAGACTTTCAATAGCTGCATTTTCAGTAACCTGAAAAAAACAAAAGCCTCTATTTCAGGAAAGTTTTGCCAAATCTCTACCTACCAGGTTCCTCAAGCAAAGTCGACCTCTGCATTTTGTGAGTGGAACAGAAACCTTCACGCTGTTAATCAGAAATACACCCAAGAACACACCAGTCTGTCATGAGGAACACCCTATTGCTGATCAGCCCTCACTCACTGACCTGTGGGGTTGGGAGGCACTGGGGGAAGCTTTGTTTGGGGCTCTGATTTCACGCTGCACCCCTTCAGCAGAAGGCAAATGGGATGGTACCAGCAATAAATGCCTTCAGTCTTGAGCTGTGCAAGGCAAGCCCAGCCCAGCACATCTGTTCTTGGGAGGTAAATCCAAGAAGAGCAGAGCTCTTCACAAACCTTCACACCTTGTGCTTTTGAGAAGATCTGAGTACAAGTGAGCTCTTTGCCCAAGCTGCTGAGGTTCCCAGCACCTACTTCCAGCCTACAAAAGCAACCTACAGGCATGTGTCCTGACCCTCTGGCCAAGAGAATGATGTAAAAACAGTCATTTTTTGCTTCAGAGTTAGTGAAAGGGGCTAGGATTCCGCATTCCCTAGCTAGCACTTCAGAATGCCCCCTCTACCTCCTGGCCAAGTTATTTAACACTGCTGAGGTCCTATTCCTCCAGTAGCTTTCTGGAAATAAATCCAGCAGTACATGTTTCCTCATAAAGGCATTGTACAGAAATGATGGTCTCAGGTGCAATGCTGGATTCTTTTGTTATCAAACAAGCACTCAACAAACCATCTCCTGAATTCTTTGTTGAAAACACAGAAGAATCCTTCTTATTCGGCGTGGGAGGGATGGGGAAAGGATGAACTCCGATACGCCATCTTCTTCTGAGGTGGATGACTCAATTCTGCATGACTCACAATATTTAATGTACAGTGAAAAGACCGTAATCTAGTGCTGCATAAACAATGGCTTTGTGGCAATTCTTAAAAGCAGCAATTATATGTAAAGTTATGATTTTAACATGTAGACTAGCTTCTGCTTAAACCAAGAAGCACTGTGCAACTATTTCTGCTATCAGCCTTGAATAGTAAATGAAGAGTGAGAGGCTTCTTTAAAGCACCAGATGTTTCTCAGAAAATCCAGCAGAGCTAGGGAAGGAAAAATGGAAGCCAGGAAGATACAAGGAAGAAATTCTTTACTGTGAGGGTGGTGAGGCACTGGAACAGGTTGCCCAAAGAAGTGGTAAATGACCCCAACCCTGGCAGTGTTCAAGGCCAGGTTGGACAGAGCCTTGAGTGGCATGGTCTAGTGTGAGGTGTCCCTGCCCATGGCAGGGGGGCTGGAACTAGATGATCTTAAGGTCCTTTCCAACCCTAACTGTTCTATGATTGTATGAAGATGAGGGAGCTGGAAGGAGGTAGACATGCTTGCTGAAGAAAGCAGGAAGTGTAAGGCCAGTAAATCAGAGCTGCCCAAGACCCCAGTGAGTTGGTCACTGCAGAAAATGGCTGTAGTAAGGTTAACACGTCCCCCGAGGAGCAGAGAAGTAGCCACTTCCATAGCAAAGTCAGCCACTTTAGCCTGAGCTGCTGGTGGAATTGGTGTGAGTTAATCTGAAACAGCTGGGGGGGAAATCACAGCATCTTTTGCAACTGAGGAACAGCGGCATCACCAAATATCAGCTCAGTCACTTCTGTAGTGAACATCTGTATGCAGGTTCAGGCTGCAAGGATGTACAGTCCTTCCACTTGCCTGAAGGAAAGTCATTCTGCAGGAGCTGCTAAGAAAATTGACATTTACAGAAATGCACAGACTGGGAGCACCTTTATAAAACAGGAACAGGAACAATACAAATTTTACAGCTCTATGGTCATCTTCTGTAATGAATCTTAAGGTTCCTCTTGACTGCACAACAGAAGTAAGATACAGAGGGATGAAACACACTGTTCTGGAAAACACTGCAATCCTATGGCAGAATCTCAGGGCAGGAGGGAATGGATTCAAGTGTGGGAAAGAGGAGGTATACAGAAGAGAGAAACATACTGAGGTATACAGAAGAGTGTTCCTCTCTTCTGCATACCTCCTGTCTCAGGACAACAGAAAGAGGAGAGCAGGGGCACAGATGCACTAAGGAACATCAGATTTTTGGGGAAGAGATAGGGGGGATAAGGAAGACGAGCATCTACAGAATAAAAGTGTACTGAAGACTAAGGTGTGATTAAGGGTAGTCTTCCAAAAGCTTCAGGACAGTGAAACTAAAAGTCACCAGAGAAGAGAGAAAGGACGCGGAGGGCAGGAGGCATCACCAGTGCACTCATTTAAAAACAGCAAAAAACTGAAGAGTGATGGATGGTAAGTGAACATTTAGCTGGTCTAACTGCAGGCACCAGAATTAAGTATGAGGATAAGGGAAGGCATCTCACTGTCTCTGTAGGCAACTTCAGCTCCTGGAATGCCAGCGCTCTGGACCACAACTCAAGGGTTAATTCACTCCCATGTTAGTCACAGTTTTCTTCTGCTACCAGGACCTGAGCTAGCATCTCTGCACAGAGACTAACTCCAAATTGTGAGACCCTGACCCAGCACAACACTGCACATGAATGAAAGCTAAAGATAAGATCCTCTGATGCAAAACCAGAAACCCCTGTGTTCCACCACAGCCTACAGAAGGTGCTCTTACCTGCATGAGCATGTAATAGATCCCAGCCACTCCATGGGCTGCTCCAACATATTGCTTCCTGTGCCACTGGTACAACAGAGGACAACGCTCCGTCTTCCGCTCCTCCTTAGAGAAGTTTTTCCCCGATTCAATAATAGCATCTATTACCTAAGAAAGAGAACATACCCCTTCTGTCTGCCTCACTTGCTTTCATTCAGAAGGTTTTGCTTTGTCATAATTAAAACCACAGTAAAATATAACCCACAATAAACAGTGACAGAACAATAACATTCAATTCATTTGGACTCGAGTGTTGAGGTAGAAATGGATTTTTCCTAAATGATGGAAACACCTTTGTAAGTGTAGAAAATTAATATATTAATATTTCTAGTAACTTTTTTTCCAGGCCTGCCTTCTCTGGTTCTGGTATCTGCAGAATGCTAGTGCATCTTCCCCACACTGAATTCATCCTTCACTGAAACACTTCCACACTTCTGACTAAAGGTGTTTTGTAACAATTTCCCATCCTCAAATGCTCCAAAACTAGTTACAGCTTCGATTTCCATGGCTGGCCATGGACTCACCTGCAATGGCCTGTCTCAGTTCTAGGTGGGCAGCAGGGAAAGGGGAAAAGATTAGAGCGATGGATGAGACCGAGTTTCCAGTTCTAGGTTCCTCTCCAGCATCCCTCTCTTAATCCCTTGAATTATGCAAAAAGTGACTACAGATGCTGTGGCAGTGGAAAGAGAAAAAAGTATCTTACCTCTTTGATAACAGACTGTGGGACTGTGTCTGGACCGATTTCAGTATTCAGGTACAGCAAGGCATACAGGTAACCTGCTCTACCATAAAGCAGCTCATCTGGAAGTTCAGCGTCTGTGCTTATGACTGTCCTGTGTAGCTGCAACAACCTGCATCAGACAAAGGAAGGTGGGGAGAGAGAGCCTCTTCTCTAGAGACCATAGTGGACTATGTGTTGTACAAGCCATCAACCAAAACAGAAGCAAAATGAGTGTGAAGCCCCACCACTTCCCTTCAGTCATCTCCAATTCTGCTGGCTGTCAGGTTTATTCACAGGAGCCATCCCTAACAGACAACTCTGAGCCAGGGCCAGGTGAGCATTAGTGCAATTACCAGTTTTTTGTGCAACAGAAACACATGTAAGCGCGCAGAGCAGGAGCTGGAGGAGGCTGGAATGCTACCCCAACAGATAGGGAAACCTCCTGGAACCTCTGGGAATTTCACCCAAATGAGGACCCTTAACTGTAGGTGTGTAAGAGGGAACAACCAAAAACCCCCAGTACCAGCCTTCAGCATGCCCCCTCCATAGACAATATGTTGTCTCAAGCATTTAAGCAGCTCAGTTTTGAAAATGGCACTGCTATTGTGCACAAGTGTTTAGCAATGGAAAAAGAACAAACCCTAGGCTGGCCCATTGCAACTCTCATTTCCCCCAAAGAGACTCCCTGCTATTATTCTACCAGTTTGCACTGGCATTGAGGTGGAGATCTGTCTTCCTGCCTAACCCCTATCTGCCTCTTCCCATCTTTTGTGATTAATCTGGCAATTAGATGAAACCATGGAGATGATCACATTTGAAACTGGGGGAGGGGGCAAGACCATAATTAAGACTAAATTCAATTCCCAGATTCCCCCAGCCACTATTATACATCAGAAATGTTAACATTAGCATCACGCCAGAGCAAAAACACTGACCCAAATGGCTTGTTTATGCTGTCACTGCTTAATACCAGGGCAAAGTCACTCACAAAATAAAGATTTTTATATTATTCCTTTCTTGGAACTATGCTTTGGACTTAGAATTAAATTGTTTTCTTTTAAATTGTCCACTGTTAAGTTTTATTATTCTAATCATACAATTGGACAGCTACAAGGTAAAATGTTAGAAGTGCACAGATTACATTTTGACATCTATAATGTACCACTCATCTGGTGTCATGAATATATTTGTAAACCAAAAAAGGAAGAATCAAACTAATCTCCTTTTCAATCCTCCTAGAAATTATTTTCCAAGGAGAGGCAAGACTAAAAGATTTACTGCTAATCTCATTTTGCTATATTCATGCTTCATGCCTCACAGCAACACTGCTTTCCTAGCTGCATCCAAAATGGCATGGCCAAGTTTACTGCCAGGTCTAAAAGCAAAAAAAACCCACCTAAACCTACCACCCATTTCAAAACTGAGATACTCATCCAGGAACAGCAGCAGAAATTAATCACTCTAGGATTCGAGATTAGAAAGAGCCCAACTATACTTCCAACCATAAACCAGAACGGAGATGAGGACATAAGGCTAGTCCCCACATTCTGGCAGGCTAAGGTATGCTGCTGGACAGCTAGTAAGTGGATTGCTGGTGCTGAATGCAAACACCACAAGGCTCCAGGGCTTCCAGCCCTCACCAGGACAGCAATCAGCTCCAGGACAGCAAAGGGACAGTCAGCTCTCCAAGGAAGCTCTACATCTAAATGGGATTTCTAAAGATGTTTGTTACATTTAGATTACTTTGAAAAGAGGCTGGGATTTTTTCAGGCTACCCTCCATATGCTCTTACCTAACTAAAGCCCTTGTCTTTGACGGTTCAGCAAACACCTCCTCTTGGTTTTATTAAACCTTTGTTACATGTCAATCCGACGTACCATGCTCTTGTCTGGATGTTTCCAGATCCCTGCAGCTAAGCGTTTTGATAATGAATCTACAATTAAGGCCCACTCTTCACAGAAAGCATCACATACTGCACAAGCAATACATATTGTCGACGACAAGCGTGTGGCTTTTGTTAAATGTCACTTCAATGTGACAAAATCAAAATGTGCAGGCACTACAGATATGCCCAGGACATCCTGTCCTTACAACGATAAGAGGACTCAAGATAACTCACTAAATATGAATCAAGTGTAAGCCAGCTTTAATAAAGATAAAGCCCGTTATGTATTCTTCTACTGAAAATGCATCAGGGGAGAAGATGTCTCCATTTTTAATCCTGTCCTCCAAAACTGCCCACTTGCTAATGCTACTGAACTGATGCTCTCCGCAAGCGAAGGGCACGGCTTTTTCTGACATCAACCACTTACTTGGCAACACATTCTTTAGACTCGTTGTCGATTTTCAGCTTGTGATAAACCACTGCACCCACTGCCAATGGCCCAGCATCACCACAGAGGAAAGTAACTCTTCTGCCGTTCAGATTGCGAAGGATTCTCTTCACGTAATCAAGAGATCGCTGCAAATGGCTCTGGTTTTTCGTCACGCGGTACAGTTGAAGATATAAGAGGGCAATACCTGGAACAACCATGTGAAAGGGAAAAGTTTGATTTAGTTCTCCTTTTAAGTATATCATATTCCTCTCTTTAGTGCCTCTGAAACAGTAACTCGAATGCAAACAGGTATTTGGGCAACTAAAACATGTCAGTCAAGGGTCCTTGCTTGGGCAACGGGAAGGCATCAGGTCATCATCAATGTTTCATTACACTGCAATTTGGGTAGTGACAAAACTTTTAAGATTAAAAAAATTAAAGAATTAACATTGACACCCAACATCAGACTCACAATTTGCAGAGAATGAAGAAAATCCATGTCAAAGGCACCAATGCTTGGTAAAGAAATCACTGAAGAGTCAACAATTTGGGCTAGCAAGCAGATGTATGACCAAGTACACGGACTGTACAATACTCATCTATTATATGCAAGAAGTGACTTATCTTCCATTTGATTTGTAAGAAGATTTTTTGATGAGTTTTGGGATTCAACTTGCCAAGTTCTTTATAAATGTATTCCACAACATAATTATGAGCTTCTACAAGCTAAGCTGGTTTGTGAAAGCCAGAAAGCAAACAAGTCCTCAGAGAATGCCAGAAGGTTATTACTAAGCTTCACTCCATTAAACTCATTCCATAGTTTTGCATTAAAACAAATCCAAATCTTAAACATTTCAACAATACAGACTGAAGAAAGCGAAATAAATCCATTTCAGTGGATGGTTATTGGTCAATTGCAAGCATACATATGCAGAGGGAAAACCTTTACCTCCAGACCATACTGCACCTCAAACTCATTTCTGAACAGGGAGAGCACTCTCCTGAGCCACAGCTAAAGCTGTGTAGACATAAGGCCCACTTAGCTCCCCAGAGACGCCATCTGAGGAGCACATGAAGAACAGCACAGAAGAATAGTGCTGATACATCCTCAGATGTTCTTTGGACTGGATTAACAGGCCTTTCTAGATGGGTCCAAGAGGAGAGCTGCAGAGCCCAATAGAGCGGTATGGGAGCTTGTGGGCTATTTACTGGGATTTCTGTAACCCTTTTTTATGTTGCAACTATTGTGTAGGTATCTGGGCCTGACCAAAGGATGACCAGAAACATAGCCACAAGGCCCAGTTCATCCAATCCTTCCTTGTGCAACACCCTTACAGTGGCTCCTCCAAGATCTCTGGCACCTACAAAGAGTACTTGTACAAGAAAGATGAACTCTTAACCCGAGTCTTACGATTGTTACGTGCCAAAAGTATGTGCTCCAAGATTTTAAAGATGCTTCACAAAGAACAAGCCAGTGCTCAGGACTGCACTGCCAATAGCACTGTCTAGACCTGGTATATAAAAAGCAGGGCAACTGTTTTCAGCATTACTTTTACCTTCTGATTTGCAAAATGCTGCAAGGAGCAAGTCGGGAGGAAGTATTTGCACTAAGTATTTTAAAAGCCAGATCATTTCAGTATTTTTATTCAGAGTCATTTCCACAGGAGCCTTGAAAGAAGTTTACAACTTGGAACAGATGCAATTGGTGATCCTTCTACAGGGTGGAAAAACCCCGCTCTCATTAGACTGCGTTACGTGTTCATCTACATTCTTGTTTTAGCTAATGAGGGCTGTGTTACTTTTAGCTTATGACTCATTTTCAGCATGTTCTGGTTTATCAGCCATAACTTGAGTTGTCAGTCACAGTGTCAGAACACAGCTCCCTGGGAGCCGTTCTGTAACGTCAGTGTGAGAAAGCCCACCAGTGGAGATCATCTACACTCGCTCAGCAGCCACACGCTTCCAGACCTTGAAACACATCTACCTTTTAAGTGTGAGTTGTCTAAAACTTCCCCACCCATCCACCCACAGCACCACCTGTACCGAAACATCAAGAAGGCAGCAAAAAGATGGTACCCTTTCACTGCCAGAATTAAGCCTCAGCACGGCCAAAGCCTGACGAGTTTTCCCAAGCTGCTTCCCCTCCCGATACCAAGATAAAACAATAGATCTCCTCAGAGTGCATTTCAAACATGCTGTGCTAAAAGCATAAGTATGTCTCAAGAGTGAGCTAGACAGAGCAGGAATAGAATGTGCCACTGTAAGTGGCACTTAAGAGGCCTAGATGGAAAAGCATGTTGGCAGCTTGAAGAGCAGTGGCTGCATCAGGCTTGTCAACTGCAGGCTCTGCCTGAAGGATCCAAAGGGCTCATTCACATTTGGACATGGATGACGGTGCCTAGCAATAACCAGCACTTGCACATGCCTGTTTATCTTCATGAACTTCACAATCTCACAAGCCCGCCTCCATACTCCCCCTCCTCACACGTTCATTTTACCATTTTTGTACAGACAGAACAAGCAGAGCCAAACTATCCATATTTCAGATTTTAGAGGAACAGAACACCTCCCCCCCATGATTAGAACATTCTGTTACCATTAGCAACTGCTAAGTTGAAGAGAAAAAGGTGAAAATTACTTATTTTAAGAAAACTTTAAAGAAACGAGAGGCAAGCTGAAAGAGCGAGCAGCCTTAGAAAATCCATTCCTTTAGCAAGACAAAGATCTCCATCATACACAGAAGCCAATTATTTCCCTGCAACTTTATCTGCTGAAGTCATTCCAGACAGTAGCGACCTAGAATTCAGAGTTAAAAGAAACCAACTCATACAAACGCTTCTATCAGAGTCTTTCTGTCACCCCTGTGTGAATATGAGAACCTCCTCCTGTGAATAAACCCTATTACTTCATTTAACACACTTCATTCAAACTCAAGCTTTCTCACCAGTCCAGCCAGTATAGGCAGAGCAGTCATGTGGATCTGCTGTCTTTAGCCCTTCCTCCATTTGTTGCAGAAGGTCCTTGATTTTTGCCTGGATCCGTTTTGAGAACCGAGCACTGACCTGAAAACAGCAGATAGGACAGAGTCAGAAAATGAAAGCATCCAGGAATGCAAACTGTCTGCTCCACTTTCTTGTCTGGAAAAAAAGTAAAATCAAAACCAAACAACAAACAAACAGAAAATAACTAGAGGATAAATACTATATACAGCAACCAGCAGGGCCGAGATGGTTCAACTTAAGCATGCCCCATGCAATGTGTTGCGATTACATACTAGAGTAAGTTACTAGTGTCTACATTAGACAAAAATCATCTGAGGGTACTTTAAAGTCACATGGAGAGCAGCTACGGACACTGTGACAAGTATGTAATTGCATCCTGCTTCTTATCTCAGGCTCTTAATACAGTAAGCAAAGCTTCTCTGAGCTCAGTAAAAGGTGAATAGAAACCAACAGAAGACAACCATCTGCTGCCACTCCACGGGCCAGAGATCCATTGAGGGTCGTGGTACCAAGATCACGTTATGGATGAACACAGAACAGTGAACCTACAAGCCCTGTGTACAGGTGCTTGTGCTCATCACAACATCCTTGCACATCCACTGTGGCACTACAGAGCAGGAAATAGCTATAAGAAAATAAATGCCCATACTTGAGACGATCAAGTCAAAGTCAAGCCAAGCTGACATCAAGCCAAGTTCAATGATGTGCTCAATCACATCATCCATGATGTATCCCTATTTTCTTCTTAAATCCAAGACTTTTTTTGATGTTTGCAATCACCACACACAGGGCAGGTCACCTAAATGCCCTTCCTTGTGCTTCTTGTTCTCTCCTCTCTCCAAAACAGTATTAGGATTGACATGCTTTGTAATGAGATGAGGTTGTTAAATGCAGTGATGTATGAAAAACTACCTGAAAGAGCTGGACACAAAGAGGATGAGTTAAAAGTAGCTCATCAGCTTCAGCTAATGCATGAAGGTGAAGAAACAGATGTGTGATCTTTTGCCTTGCTTGCTTTTACTTCTGACAAAGAAAAGCTTACATAGATGAATATAAATGCTATATATGAAATATAACAGGGGACACTACTCTTGCCAACATCTCTCTCTTATTCAGCACTCTGTACGGGAAGATACATTACTGATTACTCCTTTAAGCCTATGGAATGTGGAAATAGTCCATTAACTAGAATTTATTGCCCTACTAACTTCCACAGGAAGGAATATTCCTGAAGTCCCTTCACAGGACGATTCTGATTTGAGTGGGAGCATCAGGACCACCAGTCAAAAATGTTTGTGGGTTTTTTTTATTAAACAGAATCACTTATTGATCAGCTTTTCCTATTAACACATTTATTACAAACTATTTCATGTATTTAAACAGAGTTTAAGGGCTAGGTTTACTCATAGCACAATTTATCTACTACAGAGCTAAGAGATGAAGAAACAAAAAACCTCCTCGCTTCCTGAGCTATAGGAAAAGCTTCTGACAAAAGTGATGTACACAAATCTTGTGCCACTCAAAAATACTTCTGAATGCGTTTTCCATCATCTATGAAAAGCCCCAGGCATACATCACTTGCCATGCATATCTTAGTTATTCAGGAACAGCCAGAATAGAAACCCCCTAGGAACATGGAAGCCAGCAGAGCTTCCCCACCTTCCAAACCAAGAGCTACAACACAGCCATCATCAGAAAAATGGCATTACACAAGTAGGCTACTTGTCAGCTTACACTAAGTTACTGTTTTCTTAAAGAGTGCTTGATCGTCCACCTGTTGCTTCCCCAGCCTGCTCCCAGATAGCAGCTGGAACAAAGCAGATTGGTGAAGGCTTAGTTTGGTGTTAAACACATCTACATTTATGAGTCTGTTTGTTTTGGTTTTTTTTTACTGGAGAAGAAGAAATCAGCTCATTAGGAAAGTTAAGTTCTTGTTTGATTATAATACATCCCAAAAGGGAAGGGTTCAGATAAATGATGGGTCCTGGATGCCACCATGCAACTTATTCCTCCAAATACACTACACTTTGTACTCTTGTTCAGAGTGGAACTTCAAATAAAACCCAGTGAATTCAAACATCCATTCAACACATTCAGAAATCAGAAAGATAACGGGAATTACACAAGTCCTCTGACACACCAGAAGTTTTGCGGGTCAATGGTTCAAACCCATTTTATGATGGCAGGATAGGAAGGGAGAAGGAAATTATGCCATTATATCTCATGTCACACACACACCACCCTAGGAAGAAGCTAGAGCCCCCTTAACCTTCTCCAGTAACTCTAGAAATAGCAACCAAACACAGTAAGCATCTGATGCCTACTACTCTTTGCCCTTAATATGGCATTAAACATCTTTTTACTGTATCACACACACACATGACATCCCCTCACACCCTTTTGACTCATTCAGTGAAGTCTCAACAAAAAGCAAAACCTTTCCCAAAGGCTCCTCTCCTTCAAAAGAGAGCTATGCCAATGCTAAGACATATGGTAAAACAGCATGAGGATGTCCACATGGATCCAGGCACAGAGGACAAGAGTGAACTAAGGTTTCAGACTCCCAGTTTATTTACCTACTGCTCATCACAAGCAGGCTGGTTACCTTTTGCTTCTGACAATACACTTGCTGTTAGCAAACCAGGGTATTTTTTATCAAACACCAAATAAAATTACTTAAGAGGCAGGAGGGGAGGACTAAGATAAGACATCAGGACTCCTGGTTCTGCTTTGAAACCGCTGTCCCACACAAACCATTTAGCTCAGGTTGGCATATATCTATCACTAAAATGGGAATTGTAACATACCTGTCTTGGTTTAGTGTTTGGAAAAGCACAGATAAAAGGATTTTAGAATATTATTACTTACCAGCCCAAAGTTACTCACTCCCAAGCTTATGCCAGTGTTAACAGGTTATGAGAGGCAACAGTTCTCCCCAGCTACTTCACCACTGCTCTGTTGCTCTGAAGCTTTAACTGGGTACTGTCACTGTTCGTTTGATAAGATTCCACTATAAACTTACAATAGATGCTTACATGCACTAGAATAAATTAATTACATAAAGAAATGAATGTTGAAAGGTGGCTTTAGAAGATATATAAACCTCCTTAAAGGAATCTTATGGCAGCTTTAGAGCTGAGTATAAAGCATGCTAATTCATGTTGAGCACAGATTGATTTTCTTGAGAAGCATATTCACTGCATGAGGATGGTTCCAGCTGGCATTCAGCCTTTTCTGCAGGTTACTCCTGTTATTCCTGTAGGGACAAACTAATACCAGAAAGCCTGACCTCTGATATCCTTTATCACATTTACTCCTGGTTCACAGAAGACTTGGTGATAACAGGAGCTAAAGAGTACCTTTAACCTAGAAAAGGTTCTTTCCAGGAATTCAACTGCTGTATTACTTCTCTGCTGCTGCAGGAAGAACAACCACGATCATCCCAACTACTGTTCAAGTTTTACGCTGGCAAAACACAAAACATGAGAGCTCATTCTCCATTATACCCAACAGAACCCTGCACCATACTGCTTATGGTAATAGGAAAGGCTCATTATCAGCATGAAATAAAAGTTGTGCAGAAAAACACAAAGATGTTGGCTTTGCAAATCGTTTTGTGATTTATTTGGACCACATCACTTTTTCCATGGCAGTGAGGGAGAATGCAAAGCTACATCCCAATCCAAAACGTTTTAAAGTCAACAAAAATGTAAGGAATGTAAGCATACATGTAACATCACCCACCTCTGGCACTAATGACATGGCCTCCAAATTATGCTGCTCTTGTCAGTGATACCTGTTTCCCCTAGCTGCTTGCTTTCATTTGTATGGTTTCAAAAAGAACTTACACCATCTTCTTTTGTAAACGCACCACTAAAACTGCACACAGAGGTTACAAAAAAATACACCATACTGAAAATAAAAATCTCCTTAAACACACATTTCACTTGAAGTTGCTATTACAGTCATATACCAATTCTTAGCCACCTACCTCTTCGTTACAGCCATACCCAGCTTTTCAGCTGTGGCTTTAAAACAAACGGGCACCAAGAGCAGATGAGGCAATGAGCAGCTGCTGTTTGTGGTTTATATCATGATTTATGGTAGGTAAGAGAAGCCTGTAACTTAAACTCTTGCATGCACATCTGGACAGATATCACAGTGCTTATGTAAGTCTGACAATGCAACTGTTTGCCTGATAGCACTCTTTTTGTGGTTAGAAGTATACTTTGGCTTGACAGACACAGGGTGAGTTATTTTGTTTGCCTCTGTAAAAGACATTTATATACTGATGTGTTTTTCAAAAGCATCTCTCAGCATTTATTTGCATCATGAGACATCTACGCCAAGTAACTTGTGCAGACTCATGGTAGGACAATGGAGACCTGAGCTCAGCTTCTTCACAAGCTGCCAACGCACCAGTCTTTCTTGCACCACCAGCTTCCAAAACAACGTCTTGCTATCACCCTATTTTATTCCATCAGGTTTTGAGGGACTGCTGCTACGTGCAAAATGAGACTGAAGAAGAAAGCGATGGATTCTGCAGAAGCAGAAATAAGATGGCCTATGCACACAGCGTTACCTAAAAGTACTTTTATTTCTTCTAGGTTCAAATAAGGTTAAAAGGTATCTCAGAGAAAAGGGATTTTATTGTTGGCAATGGGTGGAATAGGAGACATAACATGATGCTGAGTTTTCTTTCAGCCGAAGTGCATTTCACAGAGAAGAAAATGCACCTCAAGCTGGCACTGCAGCAAGTACTCATTCAAAAACTCATTCAAACACAGAAGACTGCACAAGGGACATGACAGACACTGTGGTAAGGGAGAATGGGGTGGGGGACAACTCACAAATCTACTAAAACAAGATATCCTGCCCATACTGAGATCATTGGGAACTTTGCCACTGACTGTAAGGGAGCCAGGCTTCATTCCTGAAGCAGGATGAGGTCTCATGCTCACGTTCAGAGAGCTCCAGCAACAGCAGACCAGAAGGCAGTAGGATCCCACATGCAGAATCTAGCAAGGTCATCTGGGAAGTGACCTGCCTTTTTGTACAGA